TCTCTCTCTCTCTCTCTCTCTCTCGATGGTAACTCATTTCTTCAACGAAATTGATTCAAACGATTGAAACAGTAAATTCCACGTGAAATATAGTAGGGAGAGTTGTAATAATTTATCTATAATATTTATAGATATAGTTCCATTCACAAGTATTAGTCACTTGCGTGAGATGATTAGAAATTTTTTAATACGAATGATTATTTAGATTTTTTTTGAAACGATTAGAAAATTGTTTCAATTTCTCAAGTGAAGATTTATCCCCTAGCAATGTTTATCTCGTTTTTAATCAAACCCAAAATTCGATTCAGATTTTAGACAACCTCCGAATTTCGTATCTGTCTCATGGACGTTATTCGAATACATACATGGTAAGAAAAACTGTAGTCTCTGTTTCTACGGTCAGACGACGAAGTTAACAGGAAATCGAGTTTTACTGAACTGGTTTGGGGTTACACTCCATTCATACTACGTGAACAGGCTTCACGTAATTTTTGAACTCGAAGAAGAGATGGAAAAACTACACCTTTGGTACCTAAGTTTTATATCGATTGATGATCTAAGAAATATTTCGACTTTGAAATTAAAGAACTATAAAAAAATAAGAAAAAAAATTATTACAAAAATTATTACACTCAACTGGAGGACTTTTATACAAAACTAGCAACAATTAAATGATTATTGGTCAGTAGAACATCTACATGTACTAACTAAATAGTTACGAATCTAATTAATTCCATATTTTCATATTTTTTTATATGAACGTAACTAACTAGAGTTTCGTCTATTAAATATTAGATTGATCAAAAAGTAACTATGTTTTCTTTTTCGTGTGAAGATGAAAATTTTTCATGAGAAACAAAAAGCTTTATTTATATAAAATATTTCGTTCATTTTGTTCGATTACGCATTCAAAAAACTTGTCAACTTTTTCGACAAAAAACAGTTCCAAAAACGATCTGATATTCTCGTCAACAGTAAAATTTAACAAATTTTAACGATTCTGACACTGTCGTAGCTTTAAAATTTCTTTATCACATATGTCAGATAATTTTCTATGAGCTTGCACAGCGTTTTCTTTTTTTCCTTTTCAGAAATAATGCAAAAAAATATGACGAAAATGTTCGTTTCTGATTTTCCATTTTGAAATCAACGACAAACAAACAATTGTTAACAAGATCGTGCATTTTCTTTTTTTAAAACAAGTTTGAACAGTTAACTGATATGTACGTTTGTCTATTAAAAAAAGAAAAGAATTACTTTTTGGCCAATTCAATACTTTGCTTTCGACATTTTAAATGGTTCCTTTCACTCTGTGCATTGTGTACACATTTCAAATTTCCCACGAATCAAAAGTAAAATCTTGATTCTTCCTTCACACCATCAAATTTTCCATAAATGCACGATCAATGAAAGCTGAAAATTCTTTAACTGATTTTTTAATGGACTAAAATTTTTTAATAGAAAATGACCCTCAAGATTCAATTCTTGAATAAAAGAATTACTTTTTTAATTAAAACTGATTCTCAATCCTTTAACAAACTGCGAGTGAATTCTTCAAGAAAACCGATCTTTCAACAAATTTCTTAAAAGTTTCTTAAAATTTCTTAAAAAACCGATCGCAACGTTTCCTCGAACGGCAACTGCGAGCCTTCCTCGCGGCCATGAATTACCACCGAAAGGCACATACGTACCCCGTGAGAGACGTTACCAGCATTGAAAGCGTCCGTAGCCACGTACGGCATACATATCATGTGTATGTATATTCGTATTCTTATCGGCGTGAGGGGCCAGAAGCTGAATAAAATAAAGTCGTCGGTGTCGGCCTCGTCGCCGGGTGTATTTTCCGCTCGTGAGTGCCCCGCGGCGTTAAACACGCGATATGGCGTTAAGGTAGCAAAGGGACCTGGGACCCCGGCACCAGCCACCGGCCCATTAAATGTTGTACGCCCGGTAATTTATGGGGTGCGAGAGGAGAAACGTAACCACCATCTCCTCTCCCGTCCGGATGGTGCACATAATGCGAGCCGGCGCGCGTTGCATAGGAGACGATCCTCGCGCCCCTCCCCGGTCGCCGAGTGTCGGCCGTGCCATTTGCATAAAGCTGGATGGGACCACGGGATGACCAGGAGGCAAAGGCCGCTCGGAGATTAAACGTCCGAGATTTCGTCGGCCGTGTTTCTTGCACGCTACTCACGCGGAAAATCCGTCGGGGATTCCGGCTTATCCGTTTAAGACGAGAACCCCGTGCACGACGAGACGCGTGTGTGGAAACCGTGGATCGAATTTTACCGGCCGAGGTGATGATTGTCCGTGATGCCCGTGGGATCGGATGAGAAAACGGGCACGGGATTACAGGTACGGGGTTACGGGAGAATTTATAATACCTATTTTTCCGTTTCGTGTATCTTGTTGAAATAATCGACGAAACTCTCTTGTCGATATTTCGAACTGTTGGTAACTTACGAGAGAAGAAGATCACGTGACAATCCATTTGGTTTCGTTTCGAGGCGTAATGATTCTACTTAGATCGAAGC